TGAATAAAGCGATCCAAGCTTCCAACCTGCCCATCCCAAGGCAAGAAGACATTAAAGCTAAACTTAGCGGAGCGAAGGTGTTCTCGAAGATGGACTTTAAATCGGCATTTTGGCAACTTGAACTCCACCCAGATTCCCGATACCTTACGGTGTTCCACGCAAACGATAAACTATGTCGATATAAGCGACTCGCCATGGGCGTAAAGTCAGCACAAGGAGAACTTAACATGGCTCCTCAACCGCTTTTCGCACATATTCCACAAGCACATCTCATCCATGATGACCTTATTGTTGCAACAGAAACCGATGCAGAACACCATTCCGCGATTACTGCCGTCATGCAAGCCATCACTAACGCTGGTATAACCCTTAATCCAAGCAAGTGCACTTTCGGAGCCACTGAGATCGAATTCTGGGGTTTGCGTATTGGTTCCGCAGGAGTACGACCAGATCCCGCCAAAGTGGAAGCACTAAAGCACATCACACCGCCTCGATCAAAGGAACAATTGATCAGTTTTCTCTGTATGATGCAGTCCAATGCCGATTTCATTCCAAACTTCGCACAACACGCGGCCAAACTGAGAGAACTGACCAAGAAAAATAGTCGATTCACATGGACGAAAGAACACCATGCCGCTTACGAAGCATTAATCGAACGATTCACAGTAAATACCCTACTCGAGTATTTTGACATGAGCAAGCCAACTTTCATTTTCACCGATGCACACACTACTGGACTTGGGGCCATGCTGGCATAAGGAGATACACCAGAGAGCGCAAGACCAATTGCCATAGCTTCTAGAACAACAAACAAGGCCGAGCAGAGGTACCCACAAATCGACCTTGAGGCCCTTGGTATTGATTTTGCTCTACGACGATTTCGCAACTATATCCTTGGTTCCCCAACCGATATCCAGGTTATAACTGATCATAAACCATTATGCTCTATCTTCAACGGCAACCGTAAAAGGCTCGATTCGTACAGAAAGAATAAAACTCCGCCATCAAGACATCAGATTTAGGGTAATCTACCAGTGTGGGAAAGTTAACCAATCCGACTAACTATCCCGACACGCGAAACCAATTGATAAACTACCTCGGGAGGAACAAACTGAAGCGGATGACCTCAATAATCTCCTGTACCTACTTCATACAACACCAGCCATCGACTGCGTGGGTATTGGTGCTATTGCACAAGCCACAAGTGAAGACCAGACTCTGCAAAAGATAGCGGCACTCATCAAGAAGGGACAGACTTGCGTCCCAAAGACAGAACCTGCCGAAGTTCAACGTTTTCGACCCATCCTTCCACAACTCACAGTTACAGGAAATGGCATAATCCTCAAAGATGAAAGGATCATCCTTCCGACTAAGCTCCAAGAAAAAGCTATCCAGATTGCATACAAGGGAGCCCATCCCGGACAGGAGTGGTTGAAGCGACGGCTTAGATATCTGATTTCTTCTTCCATGGCATGGATAAGAAGGTGGCAGAGTTTGTAAAGTCATGCAGTGACTGCAATGTATTTGTGGATAAGAAGACGAAGGAGCCGATCAAACCACACCGAGTACCAGAGAAGTGTTGGGAAACAGTTGCAGTGGATTTATTCGGACCAATGCCATCATCTAAACATGTGGTGGTAGTACAAGACCTAGCGTCAAGATACCCTGCAGCAAAGTTAGTCACATCAACAAAGGCAGACAAAGTCATACCAGCCTTGACAGAAATTTACGAAACATACGGCAACCCAGATGTACAGATCTCAGACAATGGTCCACCATTCAACAGCAGTCAGATGCAAAACTTCGCCAAGACCAAAGACATCAAGTTACAGAAATCACCACCACTACACCCCTCCTCGAACCCAGTCGAAACCTTTATGCGGCCCTTGGGCAAGGCTATGAAAGTTAACTGGGCGTCACAGCGGTATTCCCGAAAAAGAAAGCCTAAAAAATGTATTGAAAAACTACAGACAGACACCTCACCTGGCAACCAATCTTCCACCGGCAGCTATGATTTTCCGCCATGGACAACGCCTGGACTTTCCTAGAAGACACGCAACAGACGAAGAGATGAGCAGGGTACGAGAAGCAGACCAGAAGAAGAAAATGGAAAACGAAAGTAAAGTAAATGGCTCCAAGTACCGGAAGAAATCTCATTTCATAATCGGCGACAATGTCCTGATCAGAAACTACAATAAATCAAGAAAGTTTGACACTCTCTTCCTCCAGGAAGCGTTCAAGATCATTGATATGAACAGGGAGGGAAACATAGTCACGGTACAACAAGAAGGAAGCGGTCTCACCCTGTGTCGCCACCCGGATGATCTCAAACCTTCGAAAAGTCGACCGGACAACCGCGAAGAGAAACAGGAGTGCATGTAGTACGTCGACATCCAATGGCCAGAAGTAATTGAGCACGATGACGACGACGAGAGCTACTGCCTGGAAAAGAGAGATACAGCACCACCGCCTAGACGAAGTCAACGGAAACGGACGACCATTCCAGTTTACAAGTAAACACGAATGTTTACGAACAGTATTCATTTTATCTATTTGTGATAGGGGATGATGTATATGTATATATTGTGTTAATGTTGGACAAAGCTGGACATCAGGAGCGATGGGGGATAGTTAAAGAGAGCGGTAAAAGAACGGAGAGAAAAGAAACATTACATTGTATACTATGGGTTGATATTATTAAAAGAAACGAACAAACCAGTTTATATTTGGCATAAGGTAGTCAATAAACCGTGGAGGCATCCAAATTGCTTGGGATCGATTTTATGTCTGATATCTTCCAAGATCCATTCAACCACTAATTCCCCTAGAACTTTTGATATGCATGACGTTAGTGAAAATGGACGCAGGTCATTTTTTTCTTTGGGAGGTGTCTCTTTTGGAATGGGGGAAATTTTCGCAGATTTCCAGTGAGAAGGGGTGGTAGCCGAAGATAAAGCGAGGTTGAAAATATCTGCTGGCGGGTCAGGCAATTCGTAAGAGAATTCTTTAAGGGTGCGAGGCGGGATATTATCAGGGCCAGCAGCTTTAAAAGGGTTAAGACTAAGCAACGTTTACAAACTTGGTAAGGATGGATAGTGGGTAATTGGTCAGAAGCAGGTAAGAAGGCTGGTAACATGTTCAAGTTAAGGGTTGGGATATCTTAATTTACAGAAAGGAAAAAAGGTTCAGAGTTGTCACCAGTTCGTCATTAGCCAGGTTCAGATTTGACGTCCACAACCGATACCAGTAAGGGACCATTGGCTAATCAGAAGTGTACTAAGCCAGAGAGAAGTAGTGGAAGTCAAATCTGAACCTCTCTATTAGTAAGTAGGGCACAGTAGGTGCCGTACTTTGTTAGAATAAAAATTCTTTTTCCTGAGTTGGATTGCAGTTTTTACTTTGTTTTTATAGTGCCGCCAGAGGTAAGTATTTCCGCAGGAAATGCTTGCTGACGAGCAATAGATAGATAGATAGCTAGCTAGAAAGATGTTTTAATTGATAAACCTTGCAGCCCAAAGCATGAATTATGTTTACGTTACATAAGGTCCAGTTACTGTGGCTATATTACACCAATATTACAAATTACATAAAATAAACTAAAGTTTGGTGAACAAGAGATAAGAGGCACCATTATCAGCCTCGTACCCAGGCGCAAATGACGTACTAAAAATAGCAACACTACAGTGTTTTTATATAGATCAGTGGCTAAGATGAGCGAGCGCGCGGGGGTGCTAGGTCATCTTAGCCACTGATCTATATAAAAACACTGTAGTGTTGCTATTTTTAGTGCGTCATTTGCGCCTGGGTACGAGGCTGCACCATTAGTAAATTGATCAGTTCTACTGTTTTGTGTTATTCACATTGGTTAGAATTTTAGTGAACTAGCAATAAAAAAACTGTTTTTAAAACGTTCTGTTCGGAAGTTTGCGTTAAACTTATGTTTGGCCCTAAGATCGGTGACACACATGTTTCGGGGTGGACGAAATTCATGAAGTTTACGATTTTCGTCCATTATAATGTCCTGGAAAAGTTTATTGGTTATCTTCTCTCTTCTGGTGCTAAGATGAAGACCAGTGAGTGACAGCGCGTCAGAAAAAGGGATCCAGGGGAGGATTTATTCTCAACGCTCTCTTCTGAATCGTTTCTAGATCATTAGATAAGTAATTATAAACAAACTGTTATGAAAAACAGAACATGCATATTTCAAAATTGGTCTAATGCATGTACTGTAAAATCGAACCAATTCATCAATCCCAACTTTGGCACGTTTAAGTTGTGTCAAAAAATACAATCCCTTTCTTGCTTTCACGATGGTTTGATAAATGTGATTATTCCATTTTAAATTGCTGGAAACGGTTAGTAATATAATAATGTACAGTTGTTTAATAGCTACCGACATCCAAGGTTTATGATTGCGGTGGAGTTGACTGTCTGCTGGGGAAAAAAGGTATCCATAGCTTGTGTAATTCTTTCGGTGAAATCGGAAGTCAAATTTTCAACTGACCCTTCGGGTGAGGCAACGTTCTAATCGTGTGAGGTCAACCATCGCCCAAAAGCCTCTTGCCAGGATTGATAAAGGAGACGTCGCTGGTGCTTGGTTATCTTACCATGTGGTCTAGAGGTAATTATCTTACCATGCGGTCTCTGGACGCCGATTAACGACATTATGGTCAGATGTACCCACCGGTGCCAAAATTGAAGCCTTTCTATAGAACTGTTGCATGTTGCTAATTACAAAGTCAAGGATGGCCGAGCCTCTAGTTGGTTCACCAATTATTTGACTCAGATAATGACTGGTTAGAAAATCAGAGATATTTAAGTTATTGAAGTCTCCTAGTAGAACAATACCACAATCAGGGAATTTGTTGCGGGCGTGGTCAAGGGACTCAATTAGGTAATTAACGAGGTCTCAGATGAGTGTATAATACACCCACGACAATGTTCGGGATCTTTCTGGGAAGGCGATGGGGTCTGAGCCAGAACCATTCATAGAGCGGATTTTCAAGATCAGTCCATCTTTTATACGGGACTAAACTAGATGTAAATTTCAGGCATTTGCAAGAGAGCACTGATTTGTAGAATTCATGTGTCTATTATCCGTTAAACATTCCTCTGATTGTCTATTGCAACAACCATTCAACACTGGCGGTATTAGCACAAAGTAGGGTTGGTGTCTGGAAACGCATTGTCCTTCACAGTGGAACCTAACATGGTGGTGCAATATGCCCGCTTGATTTCACACTAGCTCCGCACCCATAGCAACGTGCTCCATTGAATTGGACGGAAGGAGAGTATTTGAATCCAAAATGTACAATCAATTTCCGGTGATCTCTGGTTTGCCCGTAGCTAGGCCTGAATGTCCCCTGAAGCTGGATATTTGGGTATCCTAACAAACGGGCACATGTAAATAATATAGCCATAGTTCATTTGATTTTCAGTGTTTCCCAGACTATGTTTAAAGGCAAATATTTCGGCGAATATCAAAAACAAGAGAGATCACCACAAATATGCACAGGCGAGATGGTTATGTATGAGAACTACGGATAGCTTTCAAAACTTTCCAGGCTTCATTACTCAATAATGGCCTGCTCCAAAAAAATATTAGTGAATTAAGACTTGGATTGAGCAAGGTAGGTAACAGTGCCCAGGACCGTAAAATGATGTAATCACGTCTATCAAGATTCATGAATATAAAAATACCTGTGCCCAAGAAACAAAGGCAAAGGCATGCTACGACAAGAAAACACGATTTCACCAG